TCCCCGGTGAGCAGGACAAGATTCAAATGACAACAACCTCGGGCTGGTTTTGTGCTTTGTCCGAAAATAGACAACTGAAAAAGAGCCAGAGTGCATTTAGTACACAAGCAAACATAGTCCAAGCCTGATAAAACAGCGCGCATGCTCTAATTACCAATTATTGTTTTATCTTGCTCTTATGTGTCCCTGCGGCATAAAATGGAGATACCATGTGCTCCTGAATCCAGTTTATATGCAGCCCGTTAAAAACAAAAACTGAAGAGCCTCATTTTAAATGTCATGTGTTTTGTGTTGTTATTGAAAGCAGAAAAAGTTATAAAAATGTAGACAGATGTATTCAAAATGTCACTTCATGTGTAAGAAACCTGGACAGAGATGCAGATTTTTTTCATAACCAAAACTAACACCAAAAAAACACAGCAAATGCACAATTAACCCACAACATGAAAATCACATAAAGGCATATTTCATAGACCTGGTTTATTGCAGGCCAAGCAGAAGCCAAAATACTCACAGCACTCGATTATAGCCATCGCCAACTCAACAAAACATCCTGATATTCAAAGAAAAAGGTTCAATCCCGTTGTAAAGATGCCTTGCACGACAGCCTGAGTTATGCAGCACCTTCACCTACATCCAAATACCACAAACGACAGGAACCTGGGGGGTCAGGATCAACTGGTGGGACAAGAAGAACCTAAAGTACATAGTACTGGGAAGGTGGTTCTAATATACTTGTCACTGTAATCACTTGTCTCTGTAAACATCATATTCAACTGCCGACTGTATTTTTTGTATTTAGTCTTGTTTAGAGACTTTGAAGCACGTCTAGATACCCCCCACACAGGAGCTAATTTTTCATGGCTAAAACACCTTGATCACAAAACAACAGCCATCAGTGGTGATACAGAAGCAACACCACCATACGAGCTGCTCTTTGTTTTTGAAACAGCTCACTGCTGATTGTCCAAGGTCTGCAGTGAATAGGTGGAACAAATAACGGTCGACAGCCCTCTTGTGGGTAAAAGCACAACTGCAGCAGAAGGATGACTGAAAACAGCAGTATCAAAGAAAACGAAATAAAAGTTCAAGCTTTTTTTCCCACGTTCATTTCTCACCTCCCAGAGGCTCTTGAACTCCCGCTGTTCGATGCGAAGCAGCTCGCTGGTCTCTCTGCTGACAATGGTGGCGTGACGAGGAGTGTTGTCCAGGATGGACTCCCCAAAGGCCGTCCCGATCCCCAGCGTGCAGATAGTGACAGCATCCTGCACATACACGGGCATGACAAAACGATTTAAACTGCTCCTGTGACAGATGAAAAGTAGTTAGCTGCAACGTGTCAGGAATTACTCTGCTGTGAAACATCACAGTGACGGGCACAAGCAATATATTTTCTTCATTATCTTTTAGACAGAGCTAAAAAGTGCAGATAAATCCTAATATGTGATGCACATGAACGGATTCCTGTGTAAAGCAAACACCTCTGAGCCCTGGATATAACTGGACAGACTGGGGACACGCTGCAACCACACACTCAAACACTGACTACTGATTTAGACAGATGTTCTTTGAGCTATAAAAACCTTTTCATTTGTCCAGTCTGACATTTCAAATATAGCCATAAATCTAGGCCACCAGTGACAATTTGAGGCTCCATACATGAAAAGGACAAATTGTAACGGATGAGCTTTTTATTTTTGTCTTTCACTTTAGACCAATCTATTGTTCTTCTCCCACATGTCATTCTCCTGTAGTATAACCCTCATTTGACACTATTGCTAACAGACAGTGTTTCAGAAAGCACTATCCTCAGTGGACTTGTTTTCTGAGCTGCGGCAGTTTGCTCCAGCATATTTAGGCAGGGAGGCATGAACAATGTCAGCATTGAGGCGAGTCGTACAAGAGCAGCGCATGAGGAGGACATGGAGAGACGCCTGGCTCCTGATTAGATGGTGGATGACAAAAACAATCCAATACGGGACAAAAACAAACAATACAATCATTTACATTTTACATAAAAAAATGAAATAACGCCATCCAGTTATTTCCTTTTGATTGAAGCAATTATTCACACTGATGGAAGTATGACTAAAGGAGTCCTACCTGATGATTGGCAGTTTCGGACACTTTGACATCCAGGGAACCAGACAGGACAGCATACCAACTTGTGCCTATATCTCCCTGTCGAAACACTGCACACAGAAACTTACATGAGACAATAGCATAAGCTTTAACTTAACCCTATTTATGTGTTTTTTTAATACATGCTGCCACCCCTGAATGTAAAACAAACACTGCTGTTTAAATGAATCATTTATTCAACTTGTTTGCTCTGAGAAAATAAATATTCAGAACATCTGGATTGTTTTGTGTTGGAGCTCTCATTTAAAAAGGAACTACCAGTATTGTTTTGTTGGTTTTAGCACTGGGAAAGTTATTTTATTTATATTTAATCACTGATAAATTGTAGCAAACAAACCACGGCTCACTCTTCAGGTCAACAGAAACCTTCCCTCCTGTTAAATAATTTTGATGTTCAGGATTATAAAAGATTTAAAAAAGTCAAGTTATTCCCACATGTGTTTATAGATGACTGAACGGAGGCGTCCGGGTCAGTTTTAGGCCGATCTATGCAGAATAATCCAGTCATGCTAATAAATGTCGATCATTCCACAACTGTGCATCTGCAGTAGTGAAACAACACCACTGGAACAGCTGCAGGTCACCTCCAGCCAGATCAACCACATGTGACAACTGCTCATCAAGATGAACTAAAATGTTGAGCTGCATCATAAACCATTTTATTTCTCAGCTTTGTCTTGATCCAGCAAATTGTGCTAATCTGTAAACTCAAAAATGAACACCACAGCTGTGATTATACATGTAGTTTTGCCACAAAATAAAAATATTTGGGGGTAATCATCCTAATTAATGCAGATGGTGTGTTTAATATTCCATAAAGATAGTTCTATAATAGTTTTATAATAAGTTGCTTTGATAAAACGCATTCTCAGTCAATTTTCTACAAATGGTAGAAATTCTATTTATTAAACAGTAGTGATGCACGATATTATCGGCATGGTATCGGCGATATTAGCGTTAAAGTTAAATATTGGACATTCCATCAAAATAACTCACCAATATAAAATACGCTGCTTTTGCATGACAACCCAGTGACGAGGATGCCTGCAGCGGCAGCCCAACGTGATGACGTCACGCACACATACCTGATCTAATCACGGCGGAGAGGAAGAAGTCAAAATGTCGGCGGTGTGGAAGTTTTTTTTGTTTGTTTTTTTGGTTGAGGATATTGGATTCCGTTGATTTTGATTTTGGGACTATGTTGAGCCTCGCTACATCGTCCCCAGTTTGAGATATTTTTCCGACGTAACCTTACCCAAGTTACAAGCCGTCATTTCCAACGTCATTGAGAAGCTAATAGCTGATAGCACTTGGGTGAGTTTTACCACAGACATTTGGATGTCGTGTTAGCCCCGTTAGCATGATTAGTCTTACAGCACAACGGATAGACAAAAACTTAGAACTTAATGTCCTTCATGCACAAGAGTGCAGAGGATCCCACACTGCAACTAGGAACCTGGAGCAAGCCTCCACAATTGAGACAGCATCGCAGGTGACTAATGCTAATAAATAACATTTAACACTTTTCATTTAATATAAGTTAAAGTGCAATGCATATGGCTGTTACTGAATATATGTCACCAGCTCTTACACAATATTTGTAGCAAATAAGCCTAAATAAGAGGGCTATGTTCTGACAAAGGAAAGTATATAAAACATATCGGTAACGATTATCGACCAAATAAGTTTTAACATACTGGCCAAAAATCCAATATCGTGCATCCCTATTAAACAGTCCAATTTTGTAATTGTTCATTCCTGTCTAAAAGAAATAAATCTACTTCCACTTGCAAGAGTTTAATGCCAAGTTTGTTACATCTTTAATTAGTAGCTATTATTGCTAAATAATTACCATAAATGACTGTATCAGTTTCAATTTTATAAAATGTAAAGATATTTTTTTTTACATCTGTAGGTTTACTTTGTGACTAAACTTACAAGTAAATTGATGATGCAATAATCCGATGTGATCATACAAAGGTTTTTCAAGAGGTTTGAATAATTTAATATTAAACAACAATCTTCTAATTTTGTTGTTATTGGTTTGTTTTTGTTTTGTTGCACCATAGTGCATCACCATTTAGACAGTCTCTAAGAGCTGCAGGAAGGTCAGATAAGTTCAGACTACTGTATATATTGTGTGTTTTCTCTATTGGCCAGAATGACGCAGATGGCAACACATCTATAGATGTCACAGGACAGTATGTTTCATTGTGTACATGTACATACATGTGATGCCTTTCTCCAAACATTCGTAGAAGGCGCAGGCACAGATCTGTAGTAGGAGCGGAGGTGGAAATCTCTGGAAGGTTTTGACTTCTCTCAGTCTGGTCAGAATAATGTCCACGTCTTCCCCCGAGCGCTCTGAAGGCCTGTACAATAAAATAAAATAAAACAACACATTGTAAAATGGTAAAGTATAAATATTGTCTATGATGTATAAAAGCACACCATCTTACAAACAAAGCCTTTCCAGTATTGTCTGATTAGCTATAGCCTAACAAGTAAATGCTATTAGCAGTCAATGGGCTAAAACAGTCAAATAAATGAAATGTCCTTTAAGGAAAAGGCAGTGTTGTATTTATTGTGTTATTTTGGCCTCTTTGTGTCTCTGTGTGTGAGCATCTTGTGAGTGTGTGCACGAGCTCTACTGTTCTAGTGTCTCAGCAATAGCAAAAGAGAGCTGCGAGTGCCATTTTTCTCTGCACAGGCCCCCCACTGGGTGTTAATGTAAGACCTTGTACTGCTGCTATTTCTAATACGCTTCTAATCTCACTGAGAGCACCCACAATTAAGTTGTTGGAAAGCTACAAAATGTGCTCAGACACAAGAACACACACACACACAGAGAAAAGTGAGATCTGACAGATTAAACCTTCTGCTCTGCGACGTGGCGGTGAAAAACTCCAGCGCTGCAACGTCTCACAGGAAAACACGCTGCAGTTAGAAGCGCTCATTCACTTATTTTCTCCTTTTTTTTGCTAGTGACTCATCCTCGTATTTAAGTGTGTGTGTGTCTGTGTGTGTGTTTTATACAGCAGAGCTAATGCACTGAGAGCTCCTTCACAGAAGCGAGGCAGCCTATCCCCTCTTCTTTTGCTTTTTTGTCTTCTCTTGCCCCCCAGCACTCATCTTTGTCTGCGTATTCTACACGTTCTTCTGTTCTCCACCTATTTGTCGCTGTCCCTCGATATGTCTGCATTTTTTCCTCAAAACATGATTGGTAAGGCCAAATAAGACAAATGGATGGCTTGATTTTTTTTTTATTATTATTTTCTTCTGTCTATGAAATGCCACCAATCACAAAATAACCTCTTTACTTTCTGTTTAATAGAGGAGTACAGAATCCCATTCATCTCCAGTACTATAAATACAGTATACCCTGCAGTATATTGTTCTTTGTACCTGGCAGCAAAACATCAGCCCAATAACAGATGGACGTCTATGTTTTCCTTGCTGTTTTTAGTCTGACTCATCATCCACCTCCTGCCTGCGGCGCTCAGACAGAGCTTCATGGGTTAATGGTTCAGACAGACAGACAGACTCCTACACATTACAGCAGAAAAAAAACAAGAAGGATCACCCTTTATTCACTTGATTTCATTAAAATGACTATTTCTGTTATGATTGGTTAAAATCTACATTTTATTTATCTCTGTCAGTCCAGAGAAATCAGTGTCCCTCATGGTGTGATATGAACATGACCTGAGAGGTGTTTGCCTTGCTTCACTCTCCTTCCATCCTTCTTTTCTCTCTCCCTCTCCATTTTCTGGAACGTCTCTTTCATCAGCCACTGTCCCCCACACACACCCAATGCTAATGTCAGCACAGATCTCAGCTTTCAACAACAAATCATGGCAGCACACACACATACACGGAGGATTTACAAACCGACCAGCACTGAAGAGAAAACTGAGAGACAGCAGAAGGTTCTGCAGACTGTTTTGGAGAAAATCCATCTGTTAAAATGTTACAGTTTCCAGATAAATTCATAGGTTGACTGGTGTCAGTTTCATGATAAACACACTTATTGCACACGCAGATTAATACGACAAGCAACAGAAACTCCTTATTTGTATGAATGAATCCACTTATTGTCATCACCGTTAAAAACCTGAGATCCTGCTAAAAACACTGAATATTAATGAGCGAAAACACAGCTTTGTTTTTGATCCACTCAACTACAATGATAAAGTAAACATTAAAGATAATGGTTGCAAACTATGAAATCGAACATGAAAAAAAGCTTATCTTGAATTATAACGACTGGTGCAGTTTGAAAGAGTTTACTCAAGTAAATTTTCTAATATATTGATATGCGATTTTAAAATGCAGGAGTGCACTCAATGTAAATAAAGCACTTGGAAAACAGCGTGGAAGCTTGAGTCACGTGACTGACCTACATTAGGCTGGTTGTAGTCTGTGAAGGTAAACAAACATGGTGGAATGGGACAAGAGCAAATTCTCAGAGAAGATGTTTAGATGGTAATATAAGAATCTGCTGCTAAACGCAAGAGAAAAGAGAAAAATTAAACAGGACAACTGTCAAGGATAAATATCTGAGATTGTACAGGGTGGTAGGTTGCTATAAAGACAGAGATCTGCATTCAAACACTGGCACTCTGTTCCTGCAACGCTTTTAAACCTGGTAAGTTTTCAAACTAAGCTGTCTTTGATGCTCATGTGAACTCATTTTGTAAGAAGGTCCATCAGAGAATGTATTTTTTATCGGAAGCTCTGTGGTTTTAATGTTGATTCTACTTTTATGAGAATGTTTTATTCATGTTTTAGTGAGTCTCGTATAACATTTACCTTCATCTGTTGGTTTGGATTTTTGACATGCAAAAATAGGTACAAACTCTTGGGGATTGTCAGAATGTGCAGCAAAACTGCTGGCATAGCCCTACAGAACCTCACTGATCTACACAAGAAGAGGTCAGTGAATAAGGTCAGGCTGATTCTGGCAGATCCTGATCACCACTCCATGGTGAGTTCAGGTTGCTTTCATCTGGATGCAGGTATCTGCAGCCCAGATGTAGGACGAAAAGACTGAAAAACTTATTCAGCCCTGTAGTGATCAGACTTCTGTACTGTTATTTTAATGTCTCACCGTCTTGTGTAGTATGAATGTTTTGCGTGTCTACTGACTGTGAAACAAATTGCCCCTCAGGGATGATAAAGATTCTTGAACTTGAACTTTTGGGTTGCATACATGAAATCTGTGCATAAATATATACAAATACATCAAATTTGAGACTTCTTCATGGGCGTCACCATTGTTGTCCTATTTTTAGTCACTTTGGCTATTTTCATTAAAAAAAAAAAAACACACACTTGGTAGTTTTTTTTATTATTAAACCTTTAATTAACCAGAAAAAATCCCATTGAGATCAAGACCTCTTTCACAAGGGTGACCTGGCCAAGAACAGGCAGCAACAGCACACGTCATAAAAAACAAAACAAGTAGCAAGATTATGAAGTTGGCAGATGTTCACAAGTTCTGCTTACAACCTTTCATATAAGAAAACATTAAACATCAATGAGAAAACAGTGCATGCAGGTTTTGTCTTACCGGTACTTGGTTTTATTTTTTTCAGTGGGGTGGGGGGGCTGGTCTCCCAAGACATTACAATGACAGCCTTTAAGAAGGGCCTGATTATTAAAGAAAACATTTAGCAATTACTAAACCAATTTCAAAATATTTGAAAATCATGCTATCTATACCAGAAAAAGAATCAGAATCACTTTTATTGTCCAAGCTTGTGTACAGACAAGGAATTTGACTTTTGTTTCAAGCACTCGCGGCATAGACAGACATGTATAACTTAAATAAGGATAAAAGAAAGAAACAGTATGTACATGTATTAGTGCATGTATATACTAATAAATGTACATACTGTTTACATGTATTAGTGTATAGTCATACTGATGGAAAAGAAAAAGAAGGCTGGTTGTGGTTATGCAAATTTGCTTATTTTGTTTTACAGCAGAGTAGCTGACTACTCAGACTGTAAGGTGTTTCCTTACTTTGATCAAGGTCAAGGTCAAGGTCAAGGTTCTTTATTGTCATTCGCATCACATGTGGTAGAACGAAATTGTGTACACAAAGTCCCAGTTACATCCAACAAAAATATAAATTATAAAATAAAGTAGTAAGATCTAAGATATGAACTAAGAAATACGCTGAACAGCAGCAGCACGAACATGAGTCCGTGTGAGCAGATGAGTATGAATGAACGCAGCCTCATGAAATAAATCAGCAGCAGGAGATCAGCAGCATGGATAGTCAGCAGCACATATCAACAATCAAGTGGCATTACAAAGATTTTTTTTTTCCACAGTGATAATCCTGATTAGGGATTCATGAGTCTAACGGCTTCAGGGTAGAAGCTGTTCCTCAGTCTAGTGGTTCTGCACTTAATGCTCCTCAACCTCCTGCCTGAGGGGAGCGGGGCAAAAAGTGTGTGTGCTGGGTGAGTGGGGTCCTTCATAATGCAGGTGGCCCTATTCCTGCATCTGGAGGTGTAATGTCTGTGATGGTGGGGAGACTGACTCCAACAGACTTCTGTGCAGCCTTCACCACTCTCTGCAAAGCTTTTCTTTCTGCAGCTGTGCAGCCTCCATGCCACACGTTGATGCTGGACCTGTAGAAGGAGGTGAGGACTGAGCTTCCCAGTCCAGCTCGCCTCAGCTGCCTGAGGAAGTCTCTGATGAACTTTCTTGATCATGCTGGTCGTGTTGTAGCTCCAGCTGAGGTTGTCATTCAGGTGCACACCCAAGTACTTGTAGCTGGAGACCACTTCCACCACAGATACTCCTATGTTCGGGGTGGGAGTGGGGGTGGGGGTGGGGTTGTTCCGTCTGAAATCCACGACCATCTCCATCACCATCTCTAGATAAATAACTTTACTAATTGATTTTTATGTACAGGTATATTATTCATAACACTACAATTTTCCTAATATTTGACAAAAGTTTAACCCAAATATATTGTTTTTTTCAATAACCACATTTTTAAAACCATTTCCATTTTATTAGTACATCTTTAAACTACTCTCAGTTATTTATGCTTATAGTTTTTTTAGATATGAGTGTGTGTGTGCGTGTGTGTGTGTGTGTGTGTGTGGGGGGGGGGAGGTTGACTATCATCTCTTACCATGTATACATCACAATAAGTGCATAAATCCACATGAATGTGTTTAGAAAGGTACAGTAGATCTTAAACTTTTTGTTTATGTCCACTCATCCCCACTCTTCTTCACATCAACAGTTTATACTCTAGATGAAAGCATCAAACACACACACACACACACTCCTGTGTAGAACATTGATTGAATAAGAGGTGGATAGCTGAGGAGTACTGAGTGCTCCACAACAACATCCTGTCCCGTCCATCCCGGCTGTATCGACTCCCACCTTCCACTGCAGAGCAGCTGCATTTAGCTCAACATACACAGCACTGCACCAACATATTTTATAGTTGAAATCAAGCATTCAGACAATTTTACAGTCAATTTAAAAGCAATAATCCCTGAAGTTCATTGGTTTCAACTTTCCAACTGGAGCTGAACAAAATTAGCACATTTCAGTCTTAGATTTTACTAAACCAAGAGGCTTTTGTCATTGTTTAAAATAACCAAAGAATAACCACTCAGAATAATCAATGATGAAAGCAACGCTTGGTTTCAGCCTCATAACTAAATAGGGCCATATTTAATGTGACTAAATGTGTCAGCCCAGCACTTCATGCCTCTGGTTTCATTCCAGATGTGGATGAGAGGACAAGATGGTAGCTTCAGGTTGCCAATAGTAACGGAGTGATGTGTCAGAGATGTGCCCAATATGTGTGGGTGTTTGTGCTGTGGGGTGCACATCTTATAGACCATTCTATGTCCATCATTTGCAGTAATTACTGCCCCCACACCCCAGTTTTAATATCATTAGGACACAGACTCAGTCATTTAGAAAAATAATTTTAGATCAAATTTGTCCCTATGTTATTTTTGTTAGGCTATTTTCCCTGGTCATGTGCAGCCTGGCATGCAGAAATGTGACAAAGCCTGAAATAACACTGAAAAACAAAAACGGCCTTTCTCCTATTTATTTATTTCAGTGAAGCATACCACAAGTGCTACAGTTGTATTTTAATTATGCATGGCTTGCTATGGTCTGCAGATAAACCATGTGGGTCTCATCCATCCATCACAGCGCAGTAAGAGCTCAGTGAATCTGGAGGCCACCAACGCCTCTTTTTTTTCTTTTTTTTGACCGAATACAGAAAAAAACATGTTTTCCTAAATAGGACTTCAGTCTTTGTAACCAGCGGTGACAGAATTCACAGGCTGAAGAACGTCACCCAGCTCGCTCACGCCGCACACAGATGAAAGAAATGAATGAAAAGAGCACGAGGAGGGATGGCCGACCGTCACCCACCTTTTATCCAGGCAGCAGATCCACTCCGCCGGCGGACACGAGGAGAGGGACGCCCGCGCTGCGACCATGATCCCCGGCTGCGTGAGGCTGTGATGCCGCCGGGAGGAGGCTCCGGCTTCCCGGTTGTCGGTGGTCGTTAATGAACGTGAGCTCTGGCTGCGCCCCTTCCTCCTCCTCCTCCTCCCCTCTCCTCCTCCTCCTCACACCACCACCGGCTGCTGCCTACATCCTGCCCTGCACGTGAAGCTATCATTTTGTCTTCAGCAGCATTTGAAGGCAAAACATGCTACAATAAGAGGCAGGGCTAAGCCTAAAGGGGGGACAAGTCCAAAAATATATCACACTTTTGTTAAATATAGTTAGGCAGCTCACTTTAAGCTTAAAGTCCCACTGCATGGAAGCAGCCTAGGCCTTAACTTATTGGAAAATATCTCAAAGCCAACAAATCAGTCTGCAGATGATCTGAAACCTGCACTAGCGACATGCACAGAAATGTAGAATGGACCTCCAACAAGTCAAAATATGCTCCTGATAAGTTCAGTCACAAACAGGACTAATGAACACGATTTATATCCAACATGTGAGTCCTTGCTCAGAGTAAGATGAATGACTGGGAGCAACAAAAAGCAAAGACAGAAATGAATGAAAGATTAAAAGCAAAGTATAAAGTAAAAGCAGAGAACATTAGATAATGACATTATAAACTTTCAAACAGTCCTCTTCCACAAAATATAATTTAATGACTAGAGAAATAGCATTTCCTGTGAAAATGCAGTGTGAATTCTGATTGCTGAATTATTTTGCTGAAAGTTGCTTAAAAACCTAAAGTTCTATTTCATATAGGCTTCGCCCTTTAAGGCTGTCGCTGATGGTTTATCCCGTTATGCGCAGCATAAGCACTGAAAAAAATTAGTCCACGCCCACCTGCTGTGTGGGCCCCACCCGGTCCGTATAAATTACGTTAAGAGCGGGAAATCGGCTCCCATTTTTTCTTCAGCGAGCTAATATAGCACTGTCAGAAGAACAAAGAAGATAAATTGTGTAAATGACCAACCTTGTGAAGGATGCTTGGCCCGGCAGTCGACCTCCGGTCGTCCGGTGAGTTCTCCTCCCCGAGGAGAAGATGACAGCAGTCTTATTCCAAGGTAAGCTTCGTGGAACATTTCCCAGTGACAGGTCACTACACGCTGGACAACGCCATCTTGTGTTTTTTCCTCTTATCGCCGACCCTCGGGGCGAACCGGATGGTTCCTCCGGGGCAAGGTGTGCTCAGCTGCAGCCCCCGCTGCTCATTCCCTCCCGGGGAGCGTAGTGTAGGTGGAGGGGGGCTGAGTGAATGCTCACCCCATCCCACCTCGTTTCGCATCGGCGATCACACCGCTCCCGGCCGACAGCGCCCTCAGGGGTTGCCCGGCGGAACCCGGGAGGAGGCTGACATGAAGGGACCCCTTTTTTCTACGTCCCTCGCCTTTTCCCGCCAGTTCGGATGATCGGCGGAAAGGTTATTTTTCACTGACGTGCTTTTCCAGGCAGCCGCAGTTAGCAACAACGTGCGCTGCTAGCATATAGCATGTCCAAGGGACTGAAGGCCGCAGACCTGCCTTGGAGACAAAGAACTCCTTCTGTAAGGCAACTGACGCTATTCCTCGGTTCCCTCCCCTGGAGCCAAGCCTCGCGGAAGCTTCCGGAGCGAAGCTGTCCAGGTCGGAGCAGCGTCCCGTCCCTCCGGAGGAACCAGACGGCGACCAAAGCTCTCCAATCGAGCCCACCGACGTGTTTTCAGGCAACCGCAGTTAGCAACAACATGCGCTGCTAGCATTTAGCATGTCGAAAAGGCTGAGACCTCAGACCTGCCGGAGGAGACAAAGAGCTCCCTGTGTAGATCGGCAGACGCCATCCTCAACATGTGCGCCGCTCCCTCGGTTTGCCTGTCGAGGATTGTAGCATGGATGACGGTAATCCAACGTTCCATCTGGCTCCGTCACTCTCCATTGCTGCCGGAAAAGCTGCACAAAGACCGGATGGAGGGCCCCATCTCATCGGACGCGCTGTTCGGAAGCAGCTTGACGTCCATGCTGACGAATTCGAAGCAGTCGGAGGAGACGTCGGAAGCTGTACGCCATCTCATCTAGCCGCGCGGCTCATTCCGTCCTCCAGCCCGCTGGAGAGATCGTCAAAAGCAGAGGCAGAAACATCGACGCTCCACGGCAGCAGCAGCTTCGTCTCGCCCAGCTCCACCACCAGCCCCGCCCGCCAGAGACCACCCCTCCTCAGTCCGGCAGCCTGCACTTCAGCGTTTTCCCCAGAGATCGCCTGCAGACGGCGCTCGGAGCAAACAAACCGCAGAGCTCACGGGGGAGAAGTTTTAAGAAATGACGGTCTGCGGAGGATGTGTGTATAAATGACACAGGAATTGAATAAATGATTTTTCAAAGATCAAAATGCCTGTTTTTAGCCAGTCTGTAAGCTCGGATGAGCTCACAGCCGCTACACACACACCCTCCACTCATAAAGAGCCGGTGTCCTTAAATAAAGGTTTTTTAAATCCACCGCCGCTCCTTCACATGCCCAGACGCTCACGTGACACCACGGTAAGCGAAATAACTTGTTGTCAATCAGACCCGCACGATCACCTCCCAACGGTGTTAACGCGCTCCCGAGCGAGACAAGCAGCCTCCATCCAACGGCACTGTGTCGATGATGCACGCACAGCTGCCCGGCGCTCACCGGCCCACATCGGGATAAATGTGGGACCGCAGGCCGGGTCCGGTGGAGGTCCCTGCTCTCAGCGAAAACAACACACGCCTCTCCTGTATGAACGCGAGTGGCCGTCATCCACCGCGTCCCAGCGATCAGCAGCTCACGGCGGCATAAGCGTGAGACAGCTGAATGAATCCAATGACGGGCCCCGCCCTCAGCGAGAGCGGCGCGCGTCCCTCCAGAGGAAACGTGCGCTCCCGCGAGGCTCACAACCTTCACTTCATCAGCTGACACACGCCTCGCCTCAGCACACACCGCCCCGCCCGGACATGAAGGTTGGTCCGCGATCCAGTCACAGCGCGCGGGCGCGCGCAGAACAGCCCTTTCGAGAAAGCCTCGCCTTGGGTCACGCGGAAAACATTTCCGCGACGCATGACGGCGGTCGAGGCGGAGGTTTGGATGACATCCGTTCAAAACACGGCACATCATTTAAACGCACGTCCACTCCACGAACGTCACGCAGAGTGGTTAAAAACATGCTCACCGGACAGATGGATGGACAGAGTGTTATGCAAGGGTTACACGCTGCAGTTTGCAACCCGACCCCCTCCGTTCGGAGGAGTTATAGAGACGGTCCTGTCATCACCAGACCAAGTCTCAGCCTTAAATGCAGAAGTCCAAGAGCTTCTGATAAAAGGTGTAATCTCAAGAGTTCCCAACGAGGAGGAAAACACAGGGTTTTACTCACGCTACTTCCTGGTCCCCAAAGGACCGGAGGGATGAGACCGATTCTGGATCTGTCAGCTTTCAACAAAGCGATCATGAACAGATTTTTTCACATGTTGATGAACAGACAGCTGTTGGACAACATCCAGGAAAACGACTGGTTTGTCTCCATCGTTTTAAAAGATGCCTATTTTCACACACCAATCATCCCAAAACACAGAAAATTTCTGCGTTTCGCCTTTCAAGGGATGAAGTACCAGTACAACAGGTTGCCTTTTTTGGGTACTCCCTCGCGCCTCGTACGTTCTCAAAGTGTGTGGAGACAGCCCTGCATCCACTGCACAAGCAGGGATGAGAGTTTTGTTTTTACCTGGACGACCTGCTGCCCCTGTCTCACTCCAGACAGGAAGCATTGATACAGGCTCAGGTGTTAGCATCACACCTGCTAAATCTGGGTTTCGCCATAACTGGAAGAAGAGCTCGATTTTCCCGGCCCAGATAATTGTTATCTGGGAGTGGAATTAAACTCAATTACCATGACGGCTCGTTTATCACAAACAAGAATCGACACTCTAAAAACCAATTACGCCACGTAAGACCTGGCAAAGTGGTAACAGCTGTCTCCGTCATGAAGCTGTTGGGAATGACGTCATCAGCTCACACAGTGGTCCCGCTGGGTGTGTTACACATGAGACGCCTCCAGAGGTGGTTTACGCGTCTGCGTGTGGATCCAGTAAAACAAAAGAGACGGATGATCACTGTCCCTCCCTCCATGGGAGCAGACCTCCGACACTGGGGAAACACCCTGGCTCTGTCAGAGGGAGTCCCCGTCAGCAGACCCACGTCACGTGTCAGTCTTCACGGACGCGTCTCTGTCAGGTTGGGGGGGGGAACATGCCTATCTCAAGCAGTAGGGGCGCTGTGGCCCCACCGCACATCAGCCCACATCAATGTTTTGGAGTGTCGCACAGTGCTGAATGTGATTCAACATTTTGCTCCCGTGCTACAGAATCAACACGTGTTGATTCACACAGACAACATGGTGACTGCTGCGTACATAAACCGCCAGGGGGGTGTGCGTTCAGCCCAGATGTTACACATTGCGCGGAAGCTACTGAGTTGGGTTCATCAAACCTGCTTTTATTAGAGCAGTTTACATATCCGATGTTCTGAACAGAGGGGCTGATGTGACGTCCAAGGGCGGCCCACGTTATGTGGACCGGATCCTCCATCCGGATCTGATGTTTTTCAGACACAGCAGAAGTTGGCAAAGCAGCTGTGGACCTGTTTGCGACGCGAGAAGAACGCGCAATGTCAACTACGGTTTTTTCCCTGAGCCCGCGAGACGATCCATCGCTGGGGGGGACGCATTTGCTCACAGTCGGTGGCCCAAAACGCTTTTTACGCGTTTCTTTTCCCTCACCTCCTCTGTTTTTTTTACGGTCCATGAACCGAGTTCAGGAGGAGGGATTGACAGCTCTCCTGGTGGCTCCCGGCGTGTGAACGCACTATGGTTCCCAGGCCTGCAACGTCGGTTGTGGGGTCGCCGTGGAACTGTCGTGGAGGAAGGATGCTCTCCTTCAGGCAGGAGGAGCGACCAAGAGTTACCCAGAAATAGGTCAACACCTGTGGGTCTGACCGC